AGGCTGCAGGTTTCCCTTAAGGTAAAGGAATCCAGGTAACCTGACCCAGAAGAATCAGGAACAGGGCAATTGTTGCTCTTGGTTTTCTGAGGAACCTGAAATTATGTAATTCTACCAAAATTTATCTAGTGCAGCACAAAAATGTCAATCTTCCAGAGAGCAGAAGATCGAGAGGTAGAAAATACTTAATGGTATTAGGTATAGAATTTTTTTTAGCACATGCACAGGTATAAAGATATAGAAATTAAAGAGTCTCCAAAGACATTGAGAATGTAAGAAACTTTTATATATATGTGATTGCTATATGGAGTCCTCCATCTTTCTCCCTATATATAAAACTGGTCTAGTGACTGCTAGAAAGATAGAATCACGCATTAACCTAATACTTGTCCGTAGAGGAAAAGGATTGTTGGCTTTGGAAGTGTTGTAAGAATTTGTAAATATATAGTTAATTGTGTGATTATATCTGATAATGTCTCACTCCAGTTTGTTAACTCCCTTAGAAGAGGAATTATATGTATTTTGTTTATGGTTATATACCCAGCACCTGGCATAGAGCAGGGGATCATTATTTATAAAAATGGATCAAATATTTATGGAAAAAATTCAGTATATTTCTCTTGGAAGGAAAGGCATGGAATAGGCAAATTCCATTCACAGATAAAAATCATAAAGACTGTACCTGAAAGGCTCCTAGAAATCATCTAACCCAACTCTGTCTATTTTATTGATGAGGACACTGAATCACAGAGTTAGCAGCAGGGCCTCTCCAAGTTCTATCCTATGACCCCTAAAGCTTTGCTTTCAGACTCTTCAGGCCTGTGCATATTAGCATGTTAAGGAAAAGGCTTTCCAGATTGCTTGACTAGTTGGTTGTTGAGCATTGTGAATTTATATATTCTTAATCTTTTTGTAATATTTCAAGTTGATGTTGACTATTTTGACTACTTTCTATCTTATTCCCTGTTTTAATCGATTTATTTTATTCTGCTGATCTAGGATTATATAAACCATATTCTAAAGAAAGAAGATGAGCTACAGGAAATGACAGTTAAAGATTCCAGAACTAAGGAGGAGAGGGGCAATGCTGCTGACCTCCTCAAGCTCGTTATGGTGAGAAAATGTTTTCTGTATCAGTGTTGTTACTACTGTTTCAATATGAAATGCTTCAAGACAAAATATCGTAAGGAATAGCTGTTTCTGCCACATCTTCAAAGCATTTGCTCCCTTCTCATAATTTCTAATATCTGTGGAAATCTGTTTCTTTATATATTGAATTTTCTAAATATTAATACCTTTTAGGCTCTTCCTTTGATCAAAAATAATTCTGAAGGCCCTTAAATAAAAATTTTTATTGTCTTCAGAAGAGATTGATATTCATTGAAATGCTGAGTGAATTAATGAATGAAATAGGAAGAAGAAGAGGACTTTCCACAACTTAAAATGATTTCCATTTTTAGAAATTTTTTAGGTTTCTGAAAGGAATGACTTAAAAATCAAATTTTATATTGTATTAAAAAACTATTCCATTTTATAGTAATCCTTACAAAAGATCAATTTGAACATATAAAGAATGCTTCTAAACAAACTGAATTTTGTATATAATATAATCATCATCATTAAGTAATTCTATCTTCATTTCAGTCTTTCCCTAAAGTGGAGGAAACTACAAAAAGTCATGTTACTGAAGGTAATTAGCATTTAATATTTTTCTGTAATATATTTACAAATTTCAAAGGAACGATTTTAAATACACTTATTAGTCATTCTCTTTATCTGATAACAAAGCACCACGTTCTGTCACTCTTGTTCTTGTACTGGCCATGTTGGTTGTAATGGTTTATTCTGCCTGTACTATTCTGCCTGAGTTGTGAGATCCTTGAAAACCGTGATTGCCTCGAATTCATCTTGAACTTTTATCTGTTGAATGAAAAATGTTGACATTTGACTTTTATGTTAACCTCAACTGTTTAGAGCATAGCTAAGATATAGGAAGGAAACAGTCAACCAACAGACAACCCCTGCCACACACACACAGAACTTTGAATAGCTGCAAAGTTAGCACCAAAAACCTTGCATTGACTTATGCTATGTGTAGTACAAGCAGTTTACTCTTAGACCTCATTCAAAGAGTATTTATTTGCGGCCGAGCGCGGTGGCTCACGCCTGTAATCCT